AGAGAGAGAGAGAGAGAGAGAGAGAGAGAGAGAGAGAGAGAGAGAGAGAGAGTGAGAGAACGAAGAAAAAAATCACGGTTCTGAACAAATAGCGAGACATACGCAGCGTGTACTTTGAGTGAAATTTCAGTCCATTGTAATATAAAACCCATTCAATTTAAGCGCAAAACCGTTTTTGTTCTGCCGAAATTCAATTTTGTCCTCTGCCTCAATGGCAGCGACAGCTGCCATGAAGCATTAAACAAAGAAAGAACAGAAAAAAAACCTCATTTGCGTATTGGATTCTTCCTCTTTCAAGATCAGTTTACTTTTTGAGATTTTTTTCAGCCGATAAGTTTTTAACTTACCGTACCAATTGGCATCGGTGAGCAGCGTTGTATAATTTGAGCTCACGTTTTGCACGGGATCCATTTTATTAGGTCAAGTTTAACTACATATTTACACGAAGTTCAAGTTCTTTCAACGACGACAACGACGACGATAGCTACAGCATCATATTTGACTTGAAATACACGTTATGACTCTGGATCTCTTTTGAAGTCAATGCAAATATCGCGTTTTATCTCTCTCTCTCTCTCTCTCTCTCTCTCTCTCTCGCTCACTCTGTTTTTGTATGTAATGAGAGTACAGTCTGCAGAAAACATTGCAAAACAAACAACACATTTTATATTGCGAGTAGCATTCGGCTGACACGATATGATATGCACCCTCACGCTCGAAGCTTATTCATTATCTCTTGATTTCATTCCGACTATTGTACGATCATGTTATTTTTGCAACCATTTTTAGGCTTGTAAGATAAAAAATATTCATGGCGCACAATTTTTAGAACAGTATAAAGTCGGTTCCAATACAAAATGTAAATGATTCTCATTGAAGCATGAAAAATGATTACAACAAACCAAATTGATATAATTACAAAATAAAATGTGAAAAATGTGAATGTTTAGTTTGAAAAATGAGGTGAGCTAGAGATTTTTATGAGAAATGAACAGTATATCTACCCAAATACACAGAAAATAGAACGTCATCAGCCAAACCATTTTACTATGGCGAATTCTTCATTTCGATTATTTTTTCGTTCGTATTTCAGCAAGAAACACGATCGTGCATGAGCAAGCACTTAATTTCCCAGAACATTATACAAAATTGCAATTCATACATACTAAACAGGCTTTTCGTTTGTTGCTGCCGTTTTTCGGTTGTTTAATGTAAAATGTACAACACAGAAGCAATAAGAGTGATGAAAACAAGTAATTTTGATTCAAGTCAAAAATCGCATTAGATAAATAAACCTAGCAGTAGAATGTATTCAATTAATTGCCAGTTATCGTGTTTTTGTTTTGTTTTGTTGGTTGAGTTGCTGCGCCATTGAATAGAGGAATTATTTAACAGTTTAAATAAAGCGGAAGACTACAGTTTGGGCATAGCAGACGACTTTTTTTTTTTGTATGAACATGAGGCAAATGATAATTCGAATTAAGTTTGTTTTTTGTTTTAGTTTCAGTTTTCTCACATAAAACGGAGAAGAAGAAAAAACACTTAAATGGTGGACCTACCTATTGACTACAAATTAAATGAGGACAGTGGATGACAAGAAAACGCGCGCTATATCCGATATTGAACAAAATGATAACGGGTATTTAAGACATGCATCATGATAATTCAATATCCCCCATTACACCCAATTAGACCAAAATGTGTGATCGCTATCGCTCTAAATACGACGATTTGATTTGATTAGTAAAAGAAAATTGCAAAAGTAAACCATTTGTTGTATGACGTTGAACTTAATCTCGAATTTCGGGTATGTGTGTTTAGTGTGATTTTGAGGTGATTAATTTCAAACCAACGGGAAACGTTATTGAAATCGTTAAATTTAATTATAACTCAAAATTACACGCCACACACACACGTCCTTATAATCATTATATTCATGTTAAAATCAAATTGGAGCCAAAAAATTCCATTGTCCAAATCAATTAGTACAATTTTTGTTTTTCTCCGAATTAAGGTTATATCGATGTGAAAACCACATTCGGTCATTAGGAATTTAAATATAAATGGCAACCACAATGTATTTTTTTTCTCTCTGTGTTTTACATTGTGTTAATGGTTTTTATCAGCTAAAAATGTTTTGATATCCCTGGTCATTTGATGCCAAACATCAGTTTGCCTTCAAATCAATTGATTGCGGTTTCAATTTTCAACAGAAAAAAATTCGTTTTTAGCCAATTTTCGATAAATATTATGTTTTTTGTTCTTGTTTTGAATTCAATTATTTACATGATAAAATATCTGTTATTTGATTAGTGTGTTCATGAGATCATTGTGATATTTTGGATTGTTTCGTTTTTGGTTGAACAACACTCCAGCGTTGCCACTGCGTTTTGTGATTATGAATTTCGGTTCAGTCGAAAGTGTTACCTTCAAGTCGTTTCAATAGTTTCTTCTCGCTGTCAGAATCGGTACGTGTGTGCTTCTTCGATGGGTCATCATGGATGCCCGGACTCTTGTGTACAATGGCCAATGATTTGTTCGGCTGACTATCGTGGAAGATTTGCGAATTCGCAAACACAGCCAGAATTTCCGGCGCCAAAAATGGCACATTTGTTTGGATTTGACGGTAGTCATCTTCGCGGATTTTTGAACTAGAAAAGGAAAAAAAATTGATTACAAGTTGTAAAATTGAATTGAAGAAATAGTTGAAAGAATTAAAATGACAAAAATTGAAATTGCTAGGATTGAAAAGGAAAAACCCTTGGAAAACCCAATCATTGAAGAAAAATGTCAAGACGTATGAAAAAAAAATCATTCAAAAAGAATTTACCTCAATCCATTTTCCTGTCGAACGGGTTGTTCACAGATGGGCCGATCGTTCGCATCCAAATGCAAATCATTGAACCCTTTGCCACGTTTCGTTAAATACTCATCCTCGTCAGCATTATAATTTGCTACAATAAATAAATAGTACAACATGTTGTTTATTTAAGCTTCGCTGTGTTTATTTATTTCAAATGCAACACTTACCAATGTTCTTATCGAAGCAAAATCGTTCTTCAATGCAATACCAGTAGCAATCTTCAAAGCAACTGCAAGTAAACAGAACGAATAAAATTGCAATATAAACAAATAACATAGATTTGATGGGTTTCGAATGATCATTTCTGGTTGCAGTTATTTCGTAATAAATTTTTGTTCAAATACATATTGTGCTGTCGTAATCAACTTTCATAAAATTGCTAATTTTACTCATGCGCAACCGACGACAACGACGACTAACAATTCCTAATAGACTGATTTCATTAATATTCAATTCGATAATTCGCATGAAAATTACTACTTCAATAGCAGTAACATGTGACCAATCAAGTGCGCTAGTTTCGTTTGCTTTACCGATTTAAGCTTGCTGCGTCGAAGCAACTGCGAATGGAACAAAGTCACTCTAAATTGAAGACTAGTACATTTAATTTATCGACATAGTCCAGCTGGGGCCCACCATCTTTTCTGGTGGCCCTGAGTTGAATATCGCTAAAATAAATTGCCCTGAACAATAGCTGCCTTTTGGGTTGAGTTGTGTCAAACAACTGTAAAACAAACAGAAATTGCAAGGGCAATTCCTCGTTTCAATTCATAGGCATTTTGTCGGCATATGTTGGCGCCATTGAACTTGTTGTTTAAGTCAAAATATAAATATCGATGCATTTAGTAAATCAATGAAAAGAATTCTCAAACATTCGTCAACGCTGAATCACGGTTCGAAAAGTGAGAGAATCTTTTAATTTTTGCAGGAAAGTAAAAAGACGCAAACCAAATAAAAAAAAATGGATTGTTGACATGTTGTGTTTATGACTTGTTTATAAGAAGGAGGTGCGTTACTCCATTCCACAGTTAATCCAATTAGCACTTGTTGGCTCTATTTTTAACATTTGACTTAAAATCGAAAGAAAACTGTTGTTTTTCACTCATAATTTCAAAAAATTATTTTTTTTTCCGCAATACTTCCTAAGCCTCCCAAAGTATTTATCGATATTGACGACGTTGTTTATCAAACGGATGTTAAACAATGTATAATTATGTGTAGTTAGTGGCTTACCTCTGGCAACAACGGCACATTTTATTTTTGGATTTTTATTTAGCGTTTATGTTCCTTTTTCGGAATGATCTAATCACGAAATATTGAGTACACACTTATTTATTCACATTCAAATTGTGTGTCTATTCTTAAAATAGCGCGTTTTTTTTATTATCGAGATCGTGAGTCTTGCAATTGTTTATTTGCTTTGGATATACACTTATTCGATGGATTTTTTGATAAATTACTGCACAATATTGACATTGGTTCTTGAAATTGCCGATTTTCGATCACCCAGTTCGATTGATCGACTGCACTGAATTTCAACTTGTTTCCAACTTAGAATGTCATTGAGTCGCTATGTGATTTGACACAACCCAATGCTGCTAAACTGAAATAACACATAATTTTTTTTTCTCTCCTCAAAACATTTCCGCCTTTGTAGAAAAAAAGTACATAAACCGATCTATAATTATTATTATTTGTGGCAAATGAATCGCGTTTGTGGCTGCCATTTCATTCCAACATTCAAACTCAATTCCATCACATGATTGAGAAATTGTGTGTTATTCACGGAGTAAGCGATTGCCTCACTCCATTTTTCATGGAACAAAACAGAGCGAGAGTGAGAGCGAGAGCGAGAATACAATAGTTGACACTTTTTTTCTCTGTTCACGAACTGTCATTTGTTGTTGATTGCACTTGAAATCTACGTTCTTGCTCGAAATTATGACGAACATTGAATTCCATAGTGAGTGCGTGTACTTGAGCGTGTTCTTTTTTCGTCATTCAACGATACGTATACGACAATTTTTGTGAAATTTTGCACATACCACATAGGCAGACGTCATTTCAAAAAAACAAAAGCGTTTGCGATTTTTTTTTTGGCTTGCAAATATGGTGACAAGTAGGTTTTATATTGCAAAGTGATTTCAATAGATTTATAAATGAAGAGTGTGATTTAAGACACTTCACCGATAAGATAAAGGCTTTTTTGTCGAATTCGAAATGGACCCGGAAACTTTTTCGGGCAATACTAATTGAATTCAACATCAATGCCGTATGGTTACTATGAGCATACATCCATAGGCAAAAAGCGAAAAAAGTCAATGCTTTTTGTATGGTTTCATCAATGATTTCAAAAAAAAAGCCTCGCATCAAACGGTTTCACTTTTTCTGCAGCTTGCCCAAAGCAAGTTGCGTTTTTACTGCAAAAAGTCACACGTGTGTGATTCATTCCGAATAGAAATATGCATATTTCGGCGTTTTGTTGTGTTATCTTTTCAAACGCGAACGAACTAAACAAAACTAAACTAATATCTGTGTTACACACACACACGAAACCTGTTGCCTCATGCGAGTTAGCTAACAAAATCGAGCTATTAATATTTATTGAATTTCTAATCGTTCACGAGATAAATAATTAATTCTCGAATAGAGTTGTGAAACATGGGCTCAGGGGAGCCGAGTGTGTGCGTTTTTGTGTGTGTGACAAGTTTCGATAAATTTCACGATAGCAAAACGTAATCGTGTGTCTCTGTCAGTTGTTTTTGTCGTTGTTTGTCGAAACGAAAAGTTCGAGTCAAGTCAACGACCTAAAATATTATTATTTTGCATTTGGTAGCATGTGAATAAAAGCGAAACGATAACTGAGTGAGACGACGGTATGGTACAGTTACTATAACTTTGTTTTGATCTTCGCAATGACATTCTTACAAAGCGCTTATTTTTATTTCTCTCAATTGTATTTTTTATCCGCAAAGGTCGCATGTAAGTAACGAGAAAAAGAGTTTTTGTGAGCGTAAAATATGAAATGACTCAAAGAGAATGAGATCAAAGATCTTGTGACTGAAACAAAAACTTATTATCGTTTTGTTTTTATTATAAAAATAATCAGAAAATGTGTGCCGCGCATATTAATTCAGTATGTGTGTGGCATAAAGTGTTAAAATAAATTGAAAATTGCGGCACAGCTTATATGGCATTTACAATGTCGGTTTGCATTATGGCGACGTATGCCATTTTCATCCATTGCTGTTCGCCAAAACGCTCAATTCGATTTATTTTCATTGACTTCCACAATGTTTCATCTTGTCATGAGATATGCATTCATTACGCGGTGCGGCTTGACATGTCGCACAAGTAGGTGCTGAGATGTGTCGAGAAGCATTTATTTTCCACCCATAAATGAAATGAATGGCGTTGCTACTGCTGCAATTCAATTAATGCTTCCAATTTGTTTTGTACACGAGACATTGTCGTTACGGCAAGCACATAGATCGACGAGACAAAAGCATTGTTTCGATGGGTGTCAGCACAAGAATGTTTGCATATGTTAAGCATCTTCTTGAATAGATGAATTGATAATATGCAGCATTTCCTATAGACACAAATTGTATAGCATGAAATTGGAAGTGTACGATTAAACATTGTTTGGCTTTGAACTCAATCGATTCGCATCACCTCAATCATTCGTCGTTCTTCCTTGTTGACTCTATACATCTGCTGTCTTGATTGATGATGCTCGAACAAAATCGCTTGACTGTGCAAATAGAATGAGTACACGAGTTATGTGCGAAAATTTTCGTCAATTGTTTCTTTTTCCTTTCAGCCATCGTTTACACACTAGCAATCCAGTGGCTGTGGTTTCCAAAGTGCAACCAACCATTTTGTGCGAATTGACAATTCGTCAAACAAAGCGTTGAAAGCAATGGAAACTAACCAAAATATTTTTGATTGATCCTATGACGCAATGGACAGTGCAAATATTTAACTTTCATACAAATCCATTTCTTTAGCTTCAATTCATAACTGAGTTTCGTTGAAAGCATTTCAATTGATGTGGAAATCGACACGCGTCGCATCGAAAAATACGCCACCAATATAACAATATCTTTTGAATGTAAACTGTTTTTCTTTGTACTCTATTTTCTGATGCGGACGCGTGTTATACACACAGAATGCCATTTTGATAAACAAATTGCAAACAATGAAAGTTATGGTCACCACATATGTGATATATTCTACAAATTTTCCAATGTGACAATAAAAAAAAAATGGGCAAAATATAGCGACAGGCAACTGAATTTTTGAAGAAATGCGTACAACAGCTTGTAAGAAGCAGCAGATAGAAAGAAATAGAAGAGAGGAAGAGCGAGAGCGAAAGAGAACGAGTGAAATTGTTTTCGTTGGTATATTTTTAAAACAAAAGCCAATCAAACCGCATTTTGTGTCCAAACAATGGCAATGCGCACACGCGAAACTGCCGCTTAATGAAAACAGACGTATGAATAATTCACGTCGCCAAACATGTAAAAATAGAGTGAACAGCGGACGCGCTTTATCATTTTGGTGCAGCGTACTTTTTTCACTCTCCTTCTTTCTTCAGTTTTCTCTCAATGTAATTGCACTCGACCGATTCTCGGCTCAGTTTTATATGAGATCACTTGGTGATCTCCATTCCGATATAAATTGAAGCTTCATGATTACCGAAGCTATTTAATGCGCACAAACCAGACCATAATTCAAATTGAAAATTGTGGAAACCATAATAATTTCCGAATGAGAAGAGCACACAACATTTTTAGATATTATTGAACGTAATTTTTGTACGTCGGCCAAAAAATGTGCCGCAAAAAACCAGCAACAGCAATTAGAGTTGTATTCAATAAAATGGCAAGTGTTCTGTGCGTTTTACGATCCCCATTAACAATGCAACCGGTCTAAGTATACACATATCTAATGCATTGGAACGTTGCCATAAAATGGACAGAAATCCACGCACGAAAAACTCGGTATATTCACAAGTGAATTTCACAACGCATGTTTACGTTGTAAATATATAGTCAACAGTAAATGGTTTACGAATGACGACAAAAAAATAACAACAACAACAAAAACCGGCACGTGACGCGCTGACTATGGCAGTGCACACAGTTTCAACCGCACATTTATCACCGAAAAAACGTTTGCCTTGGCAGCCAACGATAAGTCCTGTTAAAATTTAATCTAATTGAATTGAAACAAAAACAAAAAACAGTCGACGCGTACAGTTTGAATTCCGCATACGAATGATTCACACGAATGGAAGCCGTAGTTCGAATAAGCCGAAAGCTTGTTGAAAGACTTGTTGAAAATTTAACGGCTTTAACCGATATTTTTATGCAAAAACCGTCAGGTTTTTTTTTTTCATTTTCATTTTAATCGAAACAGCCGCAATATTTTACGCAATCGATCTGTTTGCAAAAAATCTGGCATTTTTTTTGGGTTGGGCCATTTTTATTTCTCTGTTTTGATTAGACAAAAAAAAAAAATCGTAATTTCTTTTATCAACTCATTTCGATTTTCCCGACGATAAATGATCCATTTCTGGTTTATGTTTACTTTAATTTGCCGCCACATTTTAAAGCCGTGTTTTTTCTCCTCTCTCGGCTCGACGGTCGACCATTTCATCAATTTCATTTGATGAAAACATTTACAAATGGAGAGGCATATTTCGTAGCCAGAATATCGCTCACAGTTCTTTTTCACAACAAATAAATCGATGCAGTGGCCACAAACGGAGAGAGAGAGAGAGAGAGTTTAAATGCTAAATTTAATTACGCATCACTCATTTCGGTGTTTTCAATGTGCGCGAAATTCGTTGCGCTCGCAGTGTTCGCAAATGCGTTGAGAGTTGTTTTTTTTTCGGGTGGCTTAAGTGCATTCATCGAGACGATGTGTATGTGTAATTACGCTAACTTCGTTTGTTTTTTGTTGTTGTTGTTGCACTGTTCCACAATGGAGGTCGTTTTTCATTTCACTCTTTGCGTTCACGTTTATCATATTTATGTACGAAATATGCAGTTTTGAAGTGTTTTGATGTAAATTACAGGGCTTTTCGTAATCATTTTTTCGTTCAGTTCTGCGCGATGGGTTCGTGTTTCTGTGAAAATTGCTTTCTCATTAAACTGCAAACTTCAAAGAGAATTAAATTAAAAGAGTTGTAGTTGTTTTTTTTTACATTTCTTTTTTTTGCATCGGCCATTATTATTCTTCGCATTTTTAAAGAATTTTTTTTTCTTGTGCTACCTCTCTCGCTGCCGACCAATGTCAATCAATGTGGAATGGTTGTTGAATGCACAACATCAACAAACCAATAAAAAAGACGAATTTAATTATCGCTGCACCGAAAAAAAAACACACACATTGTTTACACATCATTCAGGTTTCCCACAGAAAGAGGATGTAAACACAGAAAAAAGCGATGAGCAAGAGTGAAATGCTCTGTGTTTCATCAACATGTGAAAAACCTGAAATGTTGTTGTTTTTTTTCTATCCGAAAAATCACTGAATATGAAGTTCATCGTGGATTGATCGACACAATCGTGGTGATCGTAATTCAATAATCAATAGATGTGTTTCTAACAAGTCAACTAAAATTGAATTTCATTCAAATGCCACAAATAAAACATCGAACAGATCGATTTTGCGGAAGCAAAAAAAAAACTAAACACATAAACCACTAATCACACACAATGTTCAATTGAAATAGATAAATTCTTAAGTAAAGAGAAGCAGAAGTGAAGAGAAGCAACGAACGAACGAACGAATGAAAAAAAAACACAACTAACTATGTACGGGTAATAGACGTTGAACGAAAAGGTATCGCGACTGATAATATCGAATTTACATGAATTTCAGGCAAAGTCTGCGGTTAAACTAACTGCCAGATCATATGTAGAAATGTTGTTTCTCTCAGCTGCTCTTCGCGCTTCGTATACATATGCATGCGTTTTGTTTACATTTGTGTGTATTTGCCGTCCGAAGTGAATGGGAAGAGAGAGTGATCGTATTGAGCGTATTGAGCATACTTGCCGCTCTCTCTTTCTCTGGATATATTGTGTTGAGTTCAGTTCAGTTGCTCGCATATCAATTCTCCATTGAATATGTTATTTAGAGTCTCACGCGCTCGCTACTTACCAATACACTCGATACACAGGCATGTGCTTTTGATATACACAACAAAGAAGAGAGTAACGAAGCAGTGAACGCGAACGTATGCATCGTTTGTATGTATTGCGAGAGAGCAACTAAGCTCGAGAGAGTGAAACAAATGCTGCAAAAGAGAGTCTAGAATGAAGAGCGGTCGCTCGTACGAACCGATACAGTGAGTATAGCTTAACTATATAGCATAAATAATTCAATTGAATTCACGTGAGTGCAGGTAAAAGACTGCGCGATATACTTTTTCTAGAAATTCTTCTTCTTCTTCTTCTTGGAAACTTCGAGCATCGTTCGTTTCGATCGTAACGAGCATTTTATTAAAGAAAATTACAACCGCTCACAACAAATGATTGGATGATAAATGATTTTGTTTGATAGATCTAATTACCGTATTGTCGCGGTCTTCCTTCAATAAACCGATTTGTATGCATATTTGTAAAGGCCGCGTCGCGCTCGCGTTCGTACACATGGCCATAGCAAATTTTACACAATGGCATTAATTGTATTCATGCATTAACATAGTAGTAGCCAGTGTTGTCGGCAAATGCTACTCGCAATGTGACACTTTTTGTTCGGCTAGTAAATTGGATTAACGCATCGAGCAAGTACTAGAGTCGACAAAATGGAATTGTTTAGCTTGTTCATTGAAGTTTCTAATATATATATTGTATTTCAAGATGATAAACATTTTAGGTCGCCGTTGGCAGACTGTCACTTCGTGACACATTATTTATGATTGCCATTGTGCGATCCTCAACATGCTAATCACAATTTGAATGTTTTAAATTTGTTTCCATCATTTTTTGACGTTAATTTAAAAAAAAAAGAAAAGAAATAAAAGAAGCCGAAAGCGAGATGGTAACCAGCCAGAAATTTTAAATAGATAAAAAATGTGAAATTATCGCGTACATGGTTCTCGATGTGTGTTTGCCCCGAAAGAAGACGCAAATAGCTCTATAATCATGTTATATATTATTTGATAAGAAGAAATTGCATATAGGTTTGTTCAACGACTTGAATCACGAGATAACGATATATTTTACCCATGTTTACCTACCTGTGGAAGAACCACGGGCAAAATAAAGTAGCACACACACTGGGAACGAAGAGAGATAGAGCAAGAGAGTTGTCGGTTGTTTTGAAATTAATGTTTAACGTTTACCCTGAAAACGGTGATGTTTTGTTTTTCTATCTGAAAAGTAGATGGCTGAACTGTTTTATCGATGGCTAAACGGAACGTTATCTAGCTTTTTATTATTGTTAAGACAAGTTTGGTCAAGATAAATGCGGTTTTGGGTGTGTTTCAATTGGATGTAATCCAAAATGAATGGGGCTCTTCCTTCAACCCGATTTTGGCATTGAAAGTTTATACATTTTCTACATGACCACACGGTCAGCGGTACATAACTGTCAGAACGATTGCACGGTATAAATAAAAACAAAGCGAGAAAAACTCAAGAACAACATCTTAATGCAGTTGCACTGTTGATAATGAACTGTTCATAGTGAACAATATCTTTCTGTGTATACCTTTAAATGACTAAATTCAAACTCACTGTTTAATGTATTCAAAAATGCCCATTTTATGCAGATAATTGATGATCGTGCTGCCTGCTAATCAAAACAATATCCACCTCACATGAAATTTCCTTGTTTTTCTATATTTTTTTCTCAGTTTATTTGCAGTTGTGGGAGTCACCTTCTTTTTTTCTTCTAGAAAATTTCCACTTCACGCATTTGTCAATATTTTGGAATGACAAAAATTGGCCATAAAAATCACTTTACGATTTAAGACATTAAACAAAATGGTGTAAAATCTCTATCTATTGTGAGCTCATGTATCACGCAAAGAATCCGGACACGGAATAACAATCAACTGGCACTTGTGCATGATTTTCTCGAAGACAACACTCTGAATTGGGTGTTATTTATCAGGTAAGACAATTCATTTTGCAATCAAATTCCAGTGTTTTTCTTTCACTCCTTATCTCTTACATATACATACATGTATATATTAATTGTTGTCATGATTCATGACTCATGAAGGTACTTTATGGAATATTTGTTTCTCTGTATAACTGATATATTTGACTTTTTATATTGGATACCTAGTACACACAATCACACGTACACAACTGTCGATTCATAAATACGACAGTTTTGTGCTTGTGTGATTCGTCAAAAGAGTGAAAAAAAAAATAACCCAGAAGAAATCAACAAAAGAATATGTAAAGTGAAATTAAACTAAAAAAAAAGAGCAATTCAGCATGAACAGCGATGGCGGTGAAAAAAACTGAGTACGTTGATAACAGTGTGTGATAAGGCGATAAGATATTATATTCGCTATCGTATCTCAACCCAAACGAAGTGTTTTGCAAATTGCAATAGAACAATTCGACAAAAAAAAAAGTTCAAACAAATGTGACACGGAACTACCCATGTTATAAATTTCAGATTAAATTGGACGCAGTGTGTACTGGTCTTCGGCTGCTTCTTCTTCTTTTTCGCATAGCGGTACTCCAACTATAGAAGTAGTGTGTGCGAACGAAAACAAAAGTCATTCGGTGTACGGTGTACGGTGTCTGGTGTATTTCTCAAATTCAGTCGTATGTTTTTCTTCTTCTCTCTGTGGTGTTACACTTTCTGTCAGAGATCGACAACGTGGTTCTTTTTCGCCGTATCGAATTCAAAATGAAGTGTATTTATCAGTAAAAAAAAAGTTGAAACGGCAACGACAAATAACTAATTTACTCACATTTTTACACATTAATAAAAATATATATATACACAAACCAATTAATCACTAGATATTCGAGCCACAATATTGAGTCAGTCGCTGAATTGCTGTGAATCAAATCATTTGCGAAATTAAAATCAATTGCGAAAGGAAAAAATTTCAAGTTTTCTTTGTTTGTTATTTGTGACACAAAATAGAATAAGCAGTTTGCCATTTTCGTGGAATGATGTATGATGTTTGGACGCTATTATGGCTACTTGTCTGTTTGACCATTCTCATATCGATTTTAGTGAGTGATTTTTTTTAGGCTTTTTGCTTGATAGGTGCTGATTTTGCCACATTTTTGCATGTAATAATTTTTTCTCTCTCTCTCTCTCTCTCTCTCTTTATGTTCATACCTTAGGAATCGATCTATCGCAGAATAAAAGAGCGTCAACTTCGACAGCAAGAGGTGGATTTACAACGACAAATTCGTACGTGTAAAATTTTCATTGAAAATATATTGACTTCAGTGGATTTTGATGAAAAATGTCAACTTTTGACATATTCTAAACGCAACGACTTTGATTGTTTATCGAATAAATTGTGTGACGCACGCAATCACTCATTATATTCCCCATACCATATGGCTCCTTTTTTTCCAATAAAATGACTTATGTTTTCCATTTAAAGAGGCTCAACAGTATCATGTGTACACAGTGCAACCGTTGGCTAATCCATTGCAACGAAATTCACTGACACCTAGTTCGGTTCTATCACAACAACAACAAGAGTTCATTCATCAGCAGCAAGAATTGAAAGGTATGATTCGAAAGTGAATGTTTGTTACATTGAATCTAAGAGTATATTATGAAAACATAAGTCATCACAATTTATGAATTCAAGCTAATCAAACATATTGCTTCTCCTTGTCCAGCTGCCAATGATTTGCCGCCGAAATATGAAGATGTTGTAGGGGATTTAAGCTACCGCATACCCATTGAATACACAATGCCATCATCGTCCGCACAAAGATCTTATGATACACCGCCAACCGAAGGCCCATTAGTTCGGTTTTAAACGATCGCACATCAATTCCATGTTATATAAAATGGAGTTGTGTAAATTTATGGTTCCTCAATGTGTTTAATTTTTCACAAAATTATACGATAAGATAAAAAAAAACATGTCACTTGTGCCAATATACTAATAATTAACGAAAAAAACAACCCAACGATTTGGTTTTTATCGATTTTTTTATTATTTCAAATTAACTTGTTGTTCATTTTGGGATAAAGCTCTTTACATTAAATGACACCTATTCTAAAATTAATTGATTCAATCGGTTGAGACCGTGCCGTAAACAAAAGTCTCGCTTGTTTGATGCAAATAGCAAATCGGTCACCAGGAATATCTAAAACAAACAACAGAATTGAGACAGTGAGTCAGTTTTTTTATGGCCATGTTATCATTAGACAATTTGGTTTACCTGTGCACTTGCAAATGCTAAAGTGGCTCCAAAGTAGAAATTCGCATTGGCTGAATTGCAATAAATCCATAAATACCATACGGTTGGTCCGAGAGCAGATGTGATGAGGAAAAAGCAGAACACGATAAAGTAGTTTGCCATCACTGAAAAGACGGAACATGATTAGAATTCTTGAAGTCATAGATTTAAGTCGGATTGGCAAGTTTTTAGCGTAGAGTTTGAAAGACTTGGTTTTTAGTCGAATCAAATCGATCCATACCAATTTCGACTCTGTACAAAATTTCATTCAAATATTTCACTTACAAACGGTTGAATGCTTCCAAAGTGGAATCAGTGCCATGTAGAAGGCAACATCTCCCACACAGGGATATGATCGGAATATAGATGTCAATGCGATGAGGATGGTGGCCAAAAATATCGGTTGTTTCTGCAGTTTGATAGTCAACGGTACCAAATAGAGTATGGTGGCATTCAATTGAAATGAAAACAAAAACAGTGGTCGAAAGTGTTCGAACATTTCAGTGAAGAAGTACCAAAACAGGCCGATATTCGGTTGTAGATCACGATGATTCAGACTAAAATGAAGATAGCACACATTTAATCATCACAGTTGTTATTAATTTAAAGAGAAGCACATCATGAATCAGAGTCTTACATGAATCCATATGTCGAGTCCAAAAAACTCCAATCGTTAACAATGCAATACGAGACAATGTGTAGCCCAGTTAAAATCAGTCCGAATTTGATAATGACATTGAATACGTTACGCCACTTAAATGTGGTGTTTTCAATTAAGTCAATTGCATCGTCATCGTCTACTTCGTACGAGCTCAAATACAATGATGCGGGTATGATCAACTCGATGGGATAGAAATTACGTTGTGTCTCAAGTGCTAGGCACAGGCAACACAGCAACGTTTGCTTTCGAATGAGAAAGAAGAAAAATGCGGCTAAAAACAAATTACTCCATACGGTTGTCGTCTGGCCGACGCAATTGAACACGGTGTACGGATTGAAAAGATAGGCCAATGCAACGAATATCGGAATGTCAACCAAGTCATTGGCTTTGATATGCAGCTGTTGCGTACCTTTGGCGTAGTGCTTCAGTCGACGCTGTTGTCCAACAAACTGGAATTTGAAAAAAGAAAGAATTGTGGTTAAAAATTGAATGGTTCTATAAAAGATATATCAGTTTTGTATGGATGTGAAAAACCAATGTTGCCGATTTTTGACTCTGCTTCTTGAAAAAGGATATGAAAGAATTGGTACTCACCATTTGAGCAATTAAAACTTTTGCCATTCGAAATAGCAAAAACGCACACAACAAATCACAGCCAACGAATAAATACGGAATGAATGGACTCGCATTGCGAATGAGGAAATTCGATGCATACAAAATAAGTGGGTTTTCATGATACAAATCTCCTGAATATGGATTTATGTTGTTCTCATACAGAAATGCTCCTTCCTGAACTGAAAATTGAAAAGGGAAATTATTATTAAAACTCTTGAATCGAGACACTTTTGAGTTGATAAAATCTTACTTCGTTTCCATGAATTCAGCGGTGTGGATACTTCAACTCGATTCCGAATTGTTTCGGCAAAATTTGATGTAATCAAAAAGCACCGGACAATACCGGCTAATCCAAAGCTAAACAATAGATTTTGTGACATATTTATGATGATTTATTGTTGATTTTGTTCGTGATGGCACAGTTTTTATTCATTTAATGTGATTTCATATGGTCTACTCATCGCATCGGCAGTGAACCATTTGTTTATCTCTATTTTCAATACACCTATGACTTTCCGTTAATAGGTCGATGTAAATTTTCCACTTAATATCAAATTTTCTAACTATAACATCTATAAATTAAAGCAAAGTTAGACCGATTTAAATAATCATTAGCGTTTAATAATAGCAACACCCAAAATTGATTTATTGTCCTGATTTTTGGACACTGCGATTGTTTGTTGAAATTTTGTTGCGTTGAAGAGTCACCGAGCTGTTCGTTTCAATTGTCTATATGACAGTTCGCCACTTGACAATGCCGCACGCCGAAAAAAAACAACATTCATGGGAACAACTTCATGGCGTATATTATCGGTGAATAAACAAACCGCATCAATATAAAATATGATGAAATAAATGGATTTAAGCAAAAAATTCCGAAAATAATTAAACAATTGAGAATTTTTTAAATATTTGAAATGATAACATGCGAAAATAAAAATTATTGGATTTTTTTTTTCATTAAAAAAATGGGTGACGAATGAAACCGAAAATGCAATATGGCTACTGCTAGTGCTGCTGCTGCTGCTCATTTTGACAGTTTGGGCAATCGTTCAATTGTATGTAGTTCATTCCATCTCGTTCGGCTGTATATATCTGTCTATATAAACTATAACTTGCTTTATGCCTAATAAATATACAATTTGATTGTATTATTCCATTCGGAGAGCGACCAAGCACATAATAGCATCTTGAGAGAGTACCAAAAAAAAGCGAATAGAAAAACACATTCGCATTGTCGGTCGAATTTGTAGTCAGAAAAATCGAATTCTAAGAAGCGAAAAAGACACGTAAGAAAGTCTAGTGCAGTGCCCCCGACCCAAATTACAAATAATGGAAAAAATGGGTTTGTATTCATTGCTGATAATAAATAGTTGTGATCGGAAGAAAAACGAGAGTCATATGTGAACGAATCAAGATGACACGGTACTGAGATGGCAAGAGGATTTGTGCAAATAGGGAATATCGTATTTACGAAGAATCATTCTTGGTGGCTTGCGTTGGTATTTTTACTTTGCGGTTTTTAGTGGACATAAAAACAGTTTCTGTTTTTTGGCTTGCCGGGCAATGTGAAACAATTTTTTTTTTGTCGTGCAAAGGCGTAGTCTTCTTGACAAATGTGATGATATGTACACATAACACTGGCGGTGGTGGTGTTGTTGTTGTTACTGCTGCTTCTACCGCTGTTCGCCCCGCTAATGTATTAAATTCGTGCACATTCATATGCTCGTCATAGTTATGACTATTTTTAATTAAAGTGAAAATTTAGTTTATTCATTGTTACATCGCATGCATTCGCCATGAATGCGAAGAGAAAAAACATACACACACAACGCAAACCACAAAGAGGACAGAAGAGAAATGCAATGATATCGTGGTGTTGTTGCTGCATTTCTTTTTTTGGCTTACAACACGCCGTTTCGGATAAAAAAAGATATGCTACTGAATTAATAATGCTGGCAAATTTTCCAATTTATTATCGGCCGTTTGTATGTCATTGCTCTCCATGTATTGCACATTTGTAATGAACACAGAGTGAGCGTGTACGTACACAGCGGGACCGAAGTGAAATTCATGTGATCAATTAATTGGAATTTTAATTCCGTGTTCTTGTTTTTCTATCCCTTTTTCCTTTTCATTTAACACATTGAGTTAATTGAATGGGATATTTGTTTTTTTTTTTTGTATTTTGACGAGAATTCAATTTTATCTCGTTGAATGAATTCAGTGGTTTTATCTCTCTTTCAACAAATTGCGTTCAAATTACAGTGCGATCTGATATTTTTCGCATTCTAAATTGTTCTTAAATGAAACCGCTCTGAAATCTACGCAAAATTCATTCAATGGAATTTCATTAAAATTCCAATCTAATTTTATCAAGCGCTTATCTTTGGTGGCGCAAAGAGTTGTTGATTTTTCTATTTCGAGGAAAAAATTATGATTTGCTTAGGGCTAAGCACAATCAATTTGCACACTCTCCTCCATCTCTCACCAATACTTATCAATATGGTATACATATATTCCGATTATTATTTGCCAACGACCAATTGTTTACGCGCAAATATTTGCGCTTAGTTTGGTTCGATTTGGTTCAGTTCAGTTTCGATGATACGGTTTTTGTGTCGACCGAAACAACAATTTTATCATTCAATTTCACGAGAAGCTCAAATGTCGAATTTTAAGTACACCAATTATCAACACTTTGTACCCTCTCTTATTTATCACGAGCAGAGATATTTCTCTCTCTCACTACCGACACCAGCAATTATCAGCTTAAAAACTTAAATTACATCCGACTACGTAAATCGTGCTAATTTCCATGTTGTTTTCTTTTCTATTTACAGTGATAACATAAAATTGTTGGTATTCAAATAAGCGGCCATTGATGAAGTGCCAAATTGAGCTGCTCTCATTTTAACAATCAACTGAAGGCGATTGGAAATCGAATACTAGTCAACGCAAAGGATACGAATCGAATCCAAAAATTTTAAAAAGGAAGAAGAAGAAATCTATACTTATTTTTTTTTTAAAGAAAAGACACAAACAATGACCGGCTGTTAGAATTTTATCAAGGCAAAAAAAGACGATTAACAAAAATTGACACATACACACGAATCGCATTTTAAAACCAAATAAACATCCTACGCAATTTATACGACGAAAATAGTAAGGAATTAGAAACAAAGCAAAAAAGAACTAGAGCATAAAGAATAAAAAAATGGGAAATACGAAGTCATGTTGTTCGTATTCGAGTCCGCAACCAGTGCGAAAAACAAAAGAAACGCCAGTATTTGAAGAGCATCTTCCCGAAGGTGAATTATCGACGAATAATTTACAGCATATATCTGAACGTGAGTTGGGTGACATCGATACGGTGGATCCGTCATGTAATCCATCGGCAAAAACGATGTTCCTGGAACGATCAAAGCAATCGTTCGACAATGGCATCACACGTAAACGATCTCAATACCAAATTGCACAACAAACTACGGCATCTGGTGGCGGTGGCAGTGGTGGTGCACTAAAAAAGTCTAGTTCATGTTCAACGATATACCTGGATGACAGCACCGTATCGCAGCCAAATCTCAAAAATACCGTCAAATGTGTATCGCTCGCCATTTATTATCACATAAAAAATCGACAATCCGAACGACGTCTCGACATATTTGACGAACGATTACATCCATTGACCAGAGATCCCGTTCCCGACGATTTTGATCAAATCAATCCGGAGCATAGACAAATTTATAAATTCCTTCGCACACTATTCAATGCCGCGCAATTGACGGCCGAATGTGCTATAATCACATTAGTCTATTTAGAGCGTCTTCTTACTTATGCCGAATTGGACATAGGCCCATGCAATTGGAAACGAATCGTACTCGGTGCAATTCTATTGGCTAGCAAAGTGTGGGACGATCAGGCCGTTTGGAATGTGGACTATTGCCAAATTTTAAAAGACATCACCGTCGAAGATATGAACGAATTGGAGCGACAATTTTTGGAATTGTTGCAATTCAATATCAATGTACCGTCATCGGTGTATGCCAAATACTATTTCGATTTGCGGTCATTGGCCGAATCAAATGATCTATCATTTCCGACCGAACCGTTGTCAAAGGATCGGGCACAACGATTGGAAGCGATGTCACGCGTTATGCAGGACAAAGTCACCGCTGAAGCACTCAAAAATGGCATCAAACGATGGTCATCCATGGATAATATTAGCCATGGACAGGGTGGGCCGCGACGATCCGTTGCTATATTATCATGATTCCTTTTTAATGATGAATTTGAATTTGATTTCATTTTATTCTAATTGTCTACGCATATATTTGAATGAAAAGCAGACGAAGAAGGGAAAAGAAGTAGAAGAAGAAGGAAAATTTCATCCAGTTTTTATTTTGCTCGATCGTTTTTGACTTTGGAATTAGAAGTGAAAAGAAAATGTCTCTTATTTTCAATTTATTTTCACTTAGCTACAAGTAACGACTTGAATTTTGATTATTTTCTTTTCTTGCATTTTGACACCAAAATTATTGCGCATACCAACAATTTAACGAAAACACACACATATATGTTAATTTTTTTTTGCTCATTTTAACATTGAATTTCTTTTTACACCAACATGTACTTATTTGTATATCAAGCAACTACAACAAAAATCATTGATATTTTTTCACACACACACACACACACACACACATTTCAATAAAAAGTACTGTCGCATTTTTTTACAGCGTAATTTATTTTCTGTCTTTTGCAATTTGACTTTATAATTTATTTTTGAAATCTAATTTATCTACCGAATCGACTCATACTACTGGCTATAGGTGTCATTGACATTGGAGCTGCAATGAAGAGATAAATTGGAATTTTCTCGCATGTCTAACTTATTTTGTAGGTTGACGTGTTTCCATTTGAATACATCATTTCAAGAGATTTGTTTTTTTTTGTAAAAGCTAAAGAATGTCCTATAGAACATTAAGAATATGTGTATTGTATTGTAGCATTTAAGTGATGGAAAAAACCCAATCTTTTTTTGCGAAATGCTAAAACAGAAAAACCAATATATCCAAATCGATATTTTACCAAGACAACAGTGATTTTGTCGGCACTCGTCATAGACGCACAGAAGCGCATGTATCTAAAAATCGCATATTTCATTAGAGTTTTTAATAAAGAATCGAAAATAGAAAACAACAACAAAAACATCGAGCATTTCTTTTGAAAATATTTCTTTTTCCTTCTTTATTCAACTTATCGAACTTATCTATTACAATCTTCTAAATCTATTACAACAAAAAACATCATTATGCGTGTTGAGTAATTGAGCATTCTCTCTTACTCTGTCCCTCCATTCAACTTCATTCTTGACAACAACAAAAAATTTGACTTAATTCTTTTTCCGTGAAAAGAAATTCGTCTTATTTCACTTCGTCGTGAATCGATTAAATCTTGATAAGATTATTGTTTAAATTTTGTTGGCGTTTTCGTTTGGCATCCATGGCATCCAAGATTGGTTGGCGTTTTGACGTATACTTGCGGTTAAGCTCTTCAATTTCCCGCTCCATTTCCACATCGATATTGTTCAATCGCTGTTGCAAATCATCAAAACTGAGAAATTTGATGAAGTCGGAATTCAATGCGATGTCAATGTGCTTGGGTGAAATGTGCGGTTGATGCATCATTGCATTGTTATCGATTCCATCGTGATGTACCAAATGCGGTAGGCCCATTTGCATCGGCAGTGCCGGGTATAGTTGCGGCTGTTGATGCACTTGAATGTGACTTGGCCCCGGTATGTATTGCTGCGGAGCAACGTGTACATCTTGTACGACTTGTTGGTGTTGGATGTAACCAGCCTGAGATTGTGCCTGTGCAGCAGCGACAGCAGCAGCAGCAGCCACCTGCATAGCTTCCGACTCAATCGGTGGAGCCGATGGCATCATTGCAACATCGGCAACCATTTTATTGATGGCCTCCGATTTCTTACGATCAAAATGATCCAAAAATTGTGGTCGATACTTTTCCTTGTCGGGATCCGTGTCGTGTTTTTTCATTGTTGAATCCTCTGAATCGGAATTGATGACCATTGTGCCCAAATTCGATGACAATTCCACCATTGTACCGCTGTCTGGAACTAGTGTTCCGCAATCGGTATGTGCTATCATTGTTCCATCATCTGTATTGTTTCGATCTGGTACCAATGTACCGCTATCGGGTGGAAATTCTTTGATAGTGTGCGAATTTTGTTGATCATCATCATCTGTTTCGTCGGCATTCGCTGGATTTGGGCGTCCTGGTGTACTGTTGGAATTTTGTGCCATACCTACAACGATAGTATCATATCATATTAGTCATTACCGAAACGGGTTTTCCAAAAATAAAACAATGAAACTTCAATATTTATCACACAAAGAATGTGCTTAATACAACAACTTATATCACACTTACGACTCATTGCCTCTCGAATATTGTGCACTTCAACAACCATATCGTTTAAAATGCTTCGTGGCTTGGCATTTTTAATGAATTCGTGTTTGAGCAGATCGCTGGCATTGGCACGATTTTCGGGATTTTTCACCAAACACAGTGACACAAAGTCAATGAACTCGGTGGTCCATCGATCGGGATCTCTGAATGATGGCGGTGGCTTTTGTGGAATCATAAAAATTGCACGCATCGGATGTATATCACCATACGGTGGTTTCCCTTCGGCCATTTCCAATGCCGTAATACCCAATGACCATATGTCGGCCACACAATCATAACCAACTTCTTCGATAACTTCAGGTGCCTACAAAATAGAATAACGAAAAGCAAACCCATAATTTGGCCATTAAATTTTCAGAAGAAACCGAGGAGCTTATATATGTCATGCGAGTCTCATGATTCAATACGTCAAATGTAGATGAGTTTGCGAGTCACTGTTTCCTAGAAAACAAATTCGACTGGATCGCGTGGATTCGTAGATTTGTTAAGACTACTCTGTTCTTTCTGCGGTAGACCTCGTGAGTCGATTTTGTGCAAGTCTGTACTGACTTGCGATAACAAATAAGCACCTCGGAAGAAACATAGTGAGATAAAGAAGCAACAGCATTTCGATTCCACACTTACCATCCAAAAAGGTGTTCCAATCACCGTATTCCGTTTAGCCATTGTATCAGTCAACTGTCCAGCCACACCAAAATCCGCCAATTTTGCATGTCCCTCTGAATTCAAAAGAATATTCCCGGCCTTTATATCACGATGAATTTTACGCCGTCGATGCAAATACTCCAAACCCTTGAGTGTGTCACTCAAAATGGTCGCAATTTCATCTTCCGACAAAGTCTTTTTTCTCAATCGCATAATATCCGAAACACTGCCAGCACCACAATATTCCATACAAATCCACAGATCACATTGCTTGAAATAGCTACCATAGTATCGAACCACATACGGTGAATCGCATTGTTGCATGATCGAAATTTCCTTGATGATTTCATGTAGATCGGATTCGACTGGCACTAATTTGATGGCAACTACAACACCGCTTTCCTTGTGAATGGCTTTGAACACCGATCCATACGAACCTTCTCCCAATTTAAATAAAATATCAAACACTTCTTCCGGCGGACGGGCAAGACTCTCCTCCGAAAGTAATTTTTTTAGTTCATTTTTGGAAGACATTTTCTCTTATTTTTTTTTTTTTTTCGTTCACTACGATATACACGAGACACTTTTTCTGACGTGATATGCTTCGATTTTTTTTGTGTGTTCTGTGCCTACATTTCTATCGGCATTTGCCGTTGTTCATCGTTCATCCAGTCGACCAAAAATCGAATTCGTTTGCCGCCAATAATTGGCTACCACCACCACCAATAATAACAACGAACGAAAAAAATGAAATAAAGAATGTTCTTGATTTAATTATGCAAAAGACCTGTAGTCTTTTGTGTTTGTCTATTGTCTTTTTCCTCGCACAGAGCAATCGTTCGCACGAATATTTCGTATGACAGTTGAGTGGCAGCAGGCGTTAGAGTGAGACAACTATATGTGTATACGGTTTTTGGTTATGTCACTTTGTTGTTGCCGTATACGATTTGAACTCAATTGACCGTTTCTCATCCAAAGGAGGAAAAAAAATATGGAATGAGGTTATAAATTAAATTTAGAATTTTTATCGAATGAATCACTACAAAAACAGTTTAGTTAATCATTTAAAATGACGCGAAATAAAATTCCGTTGTTAATTTAGTAAATTCATTTATTTCATTCCTTCTATAATACAAATTTTACATGTTAAATCTTGGTATTAATTGTAATTTCTTCTTTCGATTTTATTTCTTCATCTCAATATTAAATATAGCATTACACTCATTTGAATTTCGGTTGGTATCTCTTAGATTCTATCGCGAATATCGTGTGTGTCACTCTTAAGTTAAATGTTGTTGTTATTTTTTTGCTGTTGTTGTTTTCATTAATTTATTTGAAAAGATCTAAATTAACAATTTCGCGTCTTAATTTTATTTGAAACGAACTTAATGACTGTTCGTTTAAGTGTTTAGGTGTCAAAAAATTACAAAAATTGTCTTATTACTTGGTTTTCTGTATTATTTTTTTTTACAAATTCTACCTAAACAGATGCGCGTCAAATGTCAGTGTGTGATACATTTCCGAATTGACTCGACCAAAAAATCTTCTCTTGTTCGCGATTAAATACTAGAATTCTACAATGTAACATCAATCTTAAAAATTGGTTTTTCTTGTAGTTGTTACATAGTTGGTTTTTTTTCTTCTTCTTCTTCTTCTTTGAAATCTGAGACTATTTTCTTTTCGTCGCCAATCACGCGTTCATCTTAATTCATATCTAATACATAGTTTTATGTACGAAAAAATGCATATCCATCATATATGATTTTTTGTTTCTTCTTAAAAGTGTTTCAGTTCGTGCACGTTTGCATTCACAATCATCGTTTAGTTTCTTGTTTGTTTTTAGTTTTGTTTCTTATGCATACTGTTCTCTTTTTCTGTTTATAATGTTACTTTTTGTCATTGGATTGCGAACGTGACAATTTCATGTTAACCTTTTATCTTAATTGCTATATGTTGGTTTGCTGGAGTAGAAAGGGGGAAAAAACAAGATGAAGAAGATTGATAGATTGCTGTGTAAAGTAAATGCACCTTAATGAGCAAGCGTGTGGTTTTCTTTTTGTATATAATTCTCTTTGAAATTTGGCTACATTTATCCCATTCGCCGCTTCAAGTCGCCCGTTTCTCAATCATTCGAACAAATTCAACTAATTCATTTAATTTATCTATAAAGTCGGGTAAAGTCTTTAAGCGCATGTGATATGGCTTTTGGTGTCTCGGACCTATGGAAAGAGATGAAATTGTTGGGATTAGTCTTTAAAAAAAATAGAAATTGTAATTCGAAGTCATTGTTGGGTGTATGTTTCAAGTGAACATCTTCACTAGATATAGTAAAACCACAAAATCTAACCACTTACCGTATAACACTGTTGTGGAACTCATCGAGTTGTTCAGCCGTAGCATGTGTCTTTGGTAAAGATTCGACAGCTGCTCGCAAATTTTCACTCAATTGTTGTGCATTGATGTCCTTCATTTCGAGCAGTACATCGGCAACATCAGAGAGCATGTATGAGTGTAAGTAGTAAATGGATGCTTGAATGAGATTGGCAGTTAGGGCTTGGCCATGTTCTTGGACGATTTGCCGTACTAGCTGCTGTTTTTGTGCATTTTGCGCATTTACCACCGAATTGTTGTCGTTATTCGTGTTATTGTTGTTGCTATTACTGTGGTGATGGTGATGATGATGATTGTGTTGTGGTCGGCCGCAGTTCAGTAAACTATAGAAGAATCTCATCACGGATAAATTGGCATCTTTGTGGTCAAGTGTGCAGGAGAGTAGAGCACACTGTATGATTGGTGTTACGATTGGACTTTGCAGGAACGGAATTGGGCATCGTTGCAGGAGACGTGCACATAATCGAAAGAAATCATCGACCGTGTCTGGATTGTTCTTCAGGCCATTTTCCATTTGAAGCCGAGAGAATGTTGGCTGAATGAAGGCTTCCATCATTTGTAGCAAACCTCGTGTACAATCATCGTTTACGTTGGCAAACTCATCGACTAGAACACTGCCCAAATACAGGAAGCAACTGTGATGATGTGCGGTATACAGTTCAACCATTTGTTTCACTAGCTCGTTTAGCAGCGGTGCTGCCTGTTTGCCAATGCTTCGAATTGCATATCGTAGACATCGGCATACCCGTTCCATGATTCGACCCTCGTTTTGGTATTTATTGAGTATTTCAGAGACAATTGGCCAAATTTCAACTAAAACAGCCATACATGGATGCACCTCATTTTCTCTTACATCTGGGTTGGTGTAACGAACTATGGCCGCAATGCGATCCAACCAGAAACTTGGATCGGTTCGATGGCTTTGCTCCTGCTTACCACCACCTGGATTGAATAAACATACAATTAATCAATGAATGAAACATTTTTTGAAAATGTGGGCGCATGGTAACTTACCCGTTCGCTCGCTGGATGATTGAATTGGATCCATTAATATCTGACGTAACGTACCGAGTTGATACGAACAGAGTTGCTGTAATGGCTGCGTCATTTGATCTAATGGTAATCGTCCAATGATGGTTGAAATACCCTTTATCAAATTGATCGATGATTCATTTGATATTTCAAACGTATCCAGACTTTGGGCGATCTGTAGCAGACCGTTCAAATGAAAGGTCATCCGGGATTTGCATGCCGTACAGATTTGCGTGAGTGCCGATGCGGCTGCCGCGGCCAAACCATTCTTTTGGTTTAACGAATAGAGTAGGAAGTTGAGCACAGCCTCCAGCGACTCAGGATGATTGTCAATCCACTCACACAACTCACCCAGCAACATGATTGACGTGAAACGGAATGCAATGTGAGTGTTTTCGGGTAGCTTTAAAATGGCTTGAGCAACTTTTGGCACAACATCATTCTCATCTCTGGAATATTGCGATTGAATCGATTTTAGAAAACAATGTGAAACATTTTGCGCTAGCATTAGTTCGTCTCAAAACTTACGGTAAAATATTTTTCGCCACATTCTCCATAACAAACAGTGCCGCCTCACTGCTCTCCCATGTGGTATTTGGCTCTTGCAGTAATAAAAACATTTGTTTGAAACAGTAGCTCGATCCAACAATAAAAACAACATCTTTAATCACTTCGGATACTTTCCGTCGAAAATCCTGGAATGGAAATGGGTTTGCTTATCAGGCACTTTGATACAATCAGAATTGTTTTCTTATGTTCTGAATGAGATTCCATTGTTTACTTATGTCTATTCTCAATAAGATTCAATTGTAAAACCAAATTACCGTAAAACTATCGTTATCTTCCAGCAATCCTTCGTGGTCGGGTTCCATTTGCGATAGCTTCCACAAACTGAACAGCAATCGTTCGATGTACGCTCGAAAGTGTTTTGAAAGTTCGTCGTTGTTTTTCTGGTACAATTCTTCGCTGAGACGATACCAAAACGAGAACGTGAGCTCAGCCACCTCATAGTCATAATGGCCGATACAATTCAACACTAAATCCAATGATTTAATCGAATAGTGTGGCTGTTGATCGAGCTCGGTGTTAATCATTTTATCCAAAAATGATTCGGCCAATGTGGTAAAGATGCGACAAAAATTCATTGCCTTGTCGATTTCCTCTTGTGCCACTGCCATGTGGTACGAATTTTCTAATTGAACAATGTTCTGTGTTATATGACTCTCGATCAACGGTTGATTATTGACCTCTAAACATTGTAAAAATGAACACAGCAAATCCGTGGCTGCATCATGCAATTTCAATTCGGTATCTGGATTGTTAAGCAAATTAAAACTTTCCGCCACAATGACATTGTTGGCCGTATCGCACACGTCAATTGCATGCGAACAAATCCACGACGTAAAACATTTGACAACGGTGAGTACTTTCGTGGGATTCCCGTGCGCATAATTCGTCAAACTGCCCACGAGCAGTTCGCGTACAACTTTGGAATTGGCTTCCAATTGCTTTTGGATTTCATCACGTCGATTTGAGCCGAGTCGTAAATTCCGTGAGCTTATCTCCTCCGGTATCAGTGAAATGGTATTGATTAATGGCCACAAACTGTTTTCATTCCTTGACAAACGTTCGATTAAATCCAGCACCGGATCCGTCCAACGTGACATCAACAGTGTCAGATCGGCAAGGGCTAGGCATAATTGCGTTACAATGATTGGATTTGTTTCGATGGTGATTTGGCCAAGGTGTGCAATCAATGAATCGCGTAGCGACACATGAGCCTCATCGGGTAATTCGTGGAAGGAATTTTGGATTTTATTTCGCATCGTTTGCGCGGCAAAATAGCACGAATGTAGATCGCGTTTTTGCTGAAGCAATTCGTCCGCAATTTGCCACGAATAAACCTTTTCGATGTGAGTACGGGAGTAGAGAGAAAAAAACGATTTGGTTTAAAGTGGGGTTATGTCATTTGTTTTTGCTAAATGATAAAAATGTTGGCCTCTTCTTCTTGCGGCAAATTGTTTCTATCCTAAAAATGTCCCAATCATTTGCTGACCAACTCACCGAATTTTGTAGCTGTTCTAACCATTTGGATGCCTTCTCTTGTTCAACGGTGTTTGTGTTGTTGTACAGTGTGTAAACGCCTTGATAAACTGCCTCAGTTGTCGGAGGTGATTCCATCATTATTTATAACTCTTTTGCGCGAATCGTTTGCCCGTCCCAAAAACTAATTTTGATTTGTTAACTATACCGAAAAACAAATTCTACAATTTCACACGAAGGAATGAATTACTTTTTTTTGTCTTCTATACAAATTTCGAAACAATTGCGAAACGACGAGATGTGGAGAAAAAATCCGGTTTATTTGTTTATCGTTGACTATTTTAATAAATTTTCGCCTGTTTTCTCTTGTATTTTGGACGAATACGCTTAAAACTTACGAACTGGAATTTTTCTACAAGTTAAAAAAAAGTGTGTGTATGCAATTTCGATTCACCAAGTTCAAATGATTGTATTTGCGTAAAATGCAAACATAATAAAGTTTCAATGGATTTTTTTCTTTTTTTTTGTGTGTGTGTGTTACTGAAATGCCCTATCGAATTCGGTCGCTGCTTCTTCTTCTTCGTTCGTATGTTAAACTAAATGTGTCAAAAAGTGTTGCCAATCGCTTGTGAGTGACATTGAACGCAATCGCCACGCTCATCTTCTGTCCCAAGTAGCAATTTGTGTGTATGCTGTGCTATGTGCGTTGAAGTTTATTCACAACGATAATAATAATTTCTTTTTATTTTGTTACTTAAACGATTTTGCATAAAAAACCGCAATTTATATATCGAAAATACATGACTTAATCGTACAATATTTATACAGCTACTACGATTTAAAAATTAAAAGATTATCGTGTACATTCATCGTAAAATTCGAATGTTTGTAACATCTTCAGAATGGGTAATAATCCAAATTGATTATACTCCCCCAAAGAAATATCTTTCATGAACAAAGCTAAAAAAAAGTAGTTTGAATAGCACGCGGACGACAGAGTTTGAAAACATGTTGTACTGATCTGTTGGCCTTATATAGAAGAGCGTTGTTGCTGTTATTTACATGTGACGAAGCGTTTGAATGACTCTTTCGAACCGCCCACGACTCTGAATGCGATGATGGCCGTCGCCACTGTAATCAAATAGCTTGAGGTCAATGTAAGCGAATACATTTCGAGGCGGTTCAGTAGCGTTAAACAGGATACAATCAAATGGCTGACTACAACATAACCGATATGCAATCGTGATTGTGTGTCGACTGCATTGAAGAAAATCACACTCCAGAATGTGTGCAATAGAATCATACACAGGGCCTGTGCCGAACTGGTGAGGAGAAAATATTGATGTCCTCCCAGTAGACCAACCGTTGCTGGACCGACCTAAAGTGCGAACAGAAGACAATTTAATGCGAATTTCGGTCAATATGTTCAATTCCGCTTCAAGTCATTTTCTACTCACTGAGTCAGCCAAAATGTTAACTAATGCAAATGCTCCGCTCATAATGCCGAATCCCAAGCCAGATACATAGGCCAAAATGTGTTTGTTCTCAACGATGCGCGAGTTATCCGACACCAGTTGCAGCCCATTTTCACATTCACGTATTCCGCGATAAATGCCGTATCGAAACATCTCCTGCAAAGCAAATTGAATTATTCTTCTGCGACTTACTTACTTCGGTTACTTTTCTACATCTTGTGTGATTCGATTCGAATCTTTAGTTTGAACTTTTAGAAAATCAATGTTTGAAAATTACCTGAATGAGAATGGAGATGATCATTCCAAAGATTGTGACATTTCGAAGCGGTACGAATATGAACCAGACGAGTGATGAGAGCAAAAGTGAACAAAGCCATACAAATGCGGCCGCAACCAGAATGATAATTCGAATTGGATCTTGTGCAATGGTCATGGTGAACATTGCCAGCGCTGGCCCAAAAGCAAGGAAAGCACAACCGAAAAACTCAGGCAAAGTCATTTTGATGTTGGATTTTTTTTTTATCAAACCAGAGAATAGACAATGGTGACTAATCTATTCGCACTTTGGGGAGTAAACAATAAGTTCCGACAAAGTTCAATCTTAAAGCGAATATTTTCAAACGAGAAGTTACTTCTAATTAAAAATGTTTAGTTATTGTTGAACATTGTGTTGGAATTGTTGTGTTTATGATGATTCTTGTAACAAAGTGTTTTTTTTTGTTGCTTTCACGAAGACCACTGTGCTGAAGCTCTGGGATGATTTGTTTGCTTGAGTTGCACGAAAATGCAATTTTCAAGTTGACGTTTACGATATGTCATCACTGCCGATTTACAAACACATGAAACGCACTTTGCAATTACGTTTCAAAGTACACCGTACAATCGGATTATGGTTGGCGTTTGAATTAAAAAATCTAGCCACATTTGATAAAATCTCAATGAGAGCAGAATTTTTTATTTAGCGGCATATCAGCCGGATTTCCGCACCAAAAAATCATTTGTTTGAATGCGAAATGGATGCGTTCAACGATAGTGATGTTATACTCCAGTGGATATGAAAGAGATGACTATTGGTAATCAATGTGAAACGGAGAGCATATTTGCCTCGTACATATGGTTTTGTTGTTTTCCAATCACAGCGGCGTGTTTATTGGTTAGGGAGAAGGAGAAACAACAACGAAAACATATACCAAATCTGATTCATTGCTTTGCATTGTGCTGAAGTTCACATCGTTGGCTAATGTGAACGAAAGTGTATATAATTGACGTTTACGCTTCTCGTTGTTCGTATTGTCCAACTCCAGAGTGTGTATCGAATCGCCAGACGAGAAAGTTTTACTATCGAATTTTAAACCATAAATAGATTTGTTGAAATCGTGATACATATTGGAATTTTTTTTTTCTTGCAACGAAAACATTTTCGATATAGCACCGACGTGATAAACAGTTCTGAGTCATTTTTTTTCTGTGTTAACATAACAAGGAAGTGAAAGAGAAAAAAAAACATCGCCATAATGGTAATGCTATTTGTTTCGTCTTGCATTAGATAATGGTGTCACATAAATTGGTTCTAATTTTTTTTTTTTGATTTTTGCAATTGCAGAGTGACGCGATTTGTGACATTAGCCCAGAGGTGAAAGACGAACTGCGTAAATTCCGCTTCCGCAAAGACTGTGCAAACTGTGCATTAATTCGTAAGTAGATATTCTATTTATAGTATCTGTCATTTGTTAATGGAATGTTTTTTTTGTAGCGGCCCTGAAGCAAAATCTGTTTTGTTTTCATTTTAACCATTCCTTTTCAATTTAATTTCTTCTTTAATTGTATAGTAAAAGTGGATCGCGAGAAGCAATTGGTTTGCGTTGATGAATTGCTCGACGAGATTTCTGTGGACGAATTGCAAGAGCAATTACCCGGCCACCAGCCGCGCTACATTGTCTACAGCTATAAAATGGTACATGACGACAAACGCATTTCATACCCAATGTGTTTCATATTTTACACACCGCGCGACAGCCAAATGGAGCTACAAATCATGTATGCTGGATCGAAGCGTGCATTACAACGTGAGGCTGACCTAACGCGCGTCTATGAAGTACGTGAATTGGATGAACTCACCGAGGATTGGCTACGCGAAAAATTACAACGCTAAATCAACCGATAGAGCCAGAGCCGATACAATTTCAATACGTATTATTACTTTTGCACAAATTAAACAACAATCAAACAGACAGAAAAAACAGAAAACACAAAAACATAGACACGTAGAGAGAGAGAGATATATATATGTATAGATGAATTAGAAAGACAGTAACAATTAATTCCGTCGCGGTTCGTCAACTTTTGTGATGGTCATGGCCTATTATAATAATTACTCAGTTTAGAATGCACACTTGATTGAACCACCCATGTGACAATGAAATGAGCAGCAACAACAACAACAACAACAAACCAGTTGCAGGAACAAGTTTCTGCAATTCCAATCCCATGACATCGCAATGATACACTGAAACCAAGCATTGCATTTTTCGTAAACGACACAAAACGCCAAATCATAAACATGGTTACTCAGTTGGATAAACAACAACGGAAAAATACACTCTCTACACACAGACTTTGGTGTTCATAGGATTTAAACACACAAAATGATTGTTGTTCGTAGCCGTAGAAATGGTAGAGTTATTCCATTTTAAAGTATTTTTTACGCGATATTTTCAAAACCTGTGATGTGTTTCAATCTAGGGCTAAATTATGAGATTAATTTCGGTCAACATTGAAGTGTTGAAACACTTTTTTTTGTCAATGTAACGCGCATTCATTTAACTTCCAAATTCGATACCACCCACCCCTCAGATTATATTAGAGACCAATTGTGCGAAAAAAAAAATTTATTGAAAACGAAAAAAAAAGACAAAATTTAGAGTAAAACAGAGCAATAGTGAGGCACCAGCGATCAGTAGTGGGATCATCAGTAGATTGCTTAGAAGCAGAAAATGCATTTTTTTTCTTGAATTTTAGAAGCATTTTTTCGTGATTAATCAAGCTTTTCAAAGAGCTTAATCCGAAATTTATGACAATTTTTTTTATTTACAAAGAAAAAAGAGAAAATGAAATATTCATATTCGATGAGACTGGATTAAGGTAAACCGCTCAATCTTGCCAGTTTTTCAAAGTACACATTTTTTTTAAGATGAAACAATATTCATGTTTTTTGTTAATGATTAAGGCGCATTTTCGTAAGATGAAACTAAAACTCAGGGAAATTCCACAAATTACAAAGAAAAAAAAATTAAAACGGAAACAAATTTTAAGTCAATATGTAAGAGAGTCCAAAATGTCAAAGTCTAAATTGAAATGGATCTAATTCTAAATTCAAAGGCAAACAATTATGCTCAAGTATAACATGACCAAGTATTTTGATTAAAAGGAATTTCCCGAATAATCGTACGCAATGACATTGGAAATTTAAAAAAAAAAACATACATTAGGGGAGTTTGTTTTTTCTTTACCACATTCAAATCAAACCAAAAATGTTACATTTTTACCTTTATATTTAACATTTATTCCGTTTTTTTTATTATTACGTAAATCAAAATCCTTGAATTTATTAATAATTGATGCATTTTCGTTTGATGAACAGAGAAAGAGTAAGAGAAATACCTTTTTACATTAAGCTTAGGCTTGTATTTTCGATGTTGAATAAACTCTTATGATAGAAACCATATTATGCGTTTGTTTTCTTCTTTTTGGCCTTCGAACACTCTTTTCTTGCGTAGAAAAAAACATTCGAAAATACTGATTCAATTAATTTATATTCAATTCTTTTACATTCACCGATGTTACGGCAACTCCAAAAATAAAAATTAAAGCGGTGACAGTAAAGTAACATTTTTTTGGCTCCTTTTTCTTGCAATATTTTGTATATATATAATAGTTTTTTTCTTCTGCCGTAAAAAATCATTTCATTTAAGATCGATTTCGTTTTATTAAGAGAATGGTAGGGATATATTTTTACATTAACAGTAAGCTTATGCTTGTATTTTCGTTGTTGAGTCAACTCTGGTGATCGAAACCATATTATGCTTTTGTTTTCTTCTTTTTCGCCTTCGATGTGATTGGGGCCGGCGTTTTGAACACCGTGCTGAAATGGAACAAAATTTGAGTTTTAGCAATTTTACAAGGACATTTCAATTTTTAATTGAAATAATCATGATCACTTACTGGCATGTGGTGCAAATCGGGCTGAATTTGCAGAAAACTGTTGGGATCAAAAGAAAAAAGTCAGCGTTTGAACAGAGAAGATATAGTGAAGGCATTAAAAGCTTAAATTAGGTCGTCAATTGACACTTACTTGATAAACAAACGGAACAAACGTATCCGATATCGATGAGCTCACGATGACAAAAGCATGCGGCACGATAATCAACTTTTGTGGCTGGTGGTGTAGTGAATTTGTTTCTAGTGTTTGGATCTGGTAGAAAAACCCACTGAAATTAAGAAAAGCAGGCAAATCGAATTAAGAAAACCTTAGAAAATGTTTTTAAACAAACAAAATTTTATCCAAGTTCATTATGCCAATGAACAGGATATTCAGCTAACTTCATTGAATGTCATCAGTAATGCTCAAACTCACCAGTAAATACTGTAGTAAGCCTTCTGTTTGTGGTAACTTCAGATATTGGCCGCCAGTGATATCACATCCTTGTTGCAATAGTGTCATTGACTCGTCGAGTGCGCAAACATCAAGAACGACATTTTGCTTTTGAGCCGTGAAAAAAACGTTCATGTAGGTCATATACTGTGATGCACATTCCAAACTGCCCGTCAACATCAGGATACGTGCATTCAATTTGCTGCCTTGCGGTTTTTCACGTTGCAGTCGGGCGATGTAGCACAAAGCCATGGCTATGCTACCGGCGAGCATCGATTCAGCTTGCTGTCCGATTTGTGGAGCTGAATTCACCAGACGCGCCAAATTCAGTTTGATTGTCTTCTCGACCTGTGTGAACTTTTCGTATTGACCGTCAATCTGGCGAATATCCTTGGTTTGACTGTTCGGTGATGGGTACAGAAATTCACTACAAGAGCAGACAAATTTAATATTTTAACACTGTGAAATTCGAATGAAAATGATTCGCAGGACTTACATTGCATGATGATGACAGGCCACGGCTGCAATACTATTCTGTGCGCGCTGCATCAAATGTGCATTGGCAAAAACACACATCGAATCTAAACATTGTGTTAAATGTTGCGGATTTCGCCGGATGATTCGCTGCGATGGATTCGAATCCAATATTATCACAATCAAACTACTCTCGTCGTTGTTATCTACAAAGGAAATACAAATATTCTTAAGCCATGCAATGAGTGAAGAAAAAAATAATAATTAAAATCTAATTTGTTTTTACCTTCCATTTTTGGGTGAGAAAGTCTAATTGTTGGTCATTTGTTTACAATTGTCATTTGAAGCGGCAAGAGATATTCTATTCAAAACGAGAGGTTTCTACTTCGTTTCATCTGACAGTGCAGTGGCTGCGTTCAAGGGCGACGTGAGTTGAGTTTTTGTTGTAGCTCTTTTGTTGGGTTTAACTCATTTTGTTTGAAAAGCAGTTCTTTTGCTGGTTTTTTCTTATTTTTTTATTTTTATTTTCAATTTTTTGACTATTCCAAAATTATTTAAAGGAACAAAAAAAATTCAAACAAAAAAATCGAATCACTTTTAATGTTGCCCAAATTGTACGCCGGTGGGATTGAACTCACACACAAAACATTCATATTCGATTGAATGCCAGTCATTCCATTTGGTGTGAAAATGTCCAATCTCACCACAGACACTAATAAGACAAAAGATAATTCGAACCTTTGTTTAGAAAACTTGCAATTTGCTGATGTTTAAAATGAATATGATTTAAAGAAAAGCAAAAGCCGAACCGAACGAAAAAAGTAGTTGTCTATGTGAAGAAATTTGTTATGAAATCGTTGTTTCGGATTGAATCGAGATAAAGTTCTGCTGATTCGTTCAATTTTTTTTATTGCAACATTCATTGGATTTAAATAGTGAATTTAATTTATGTAATACGACCACAGATCGTACGGAATTGTTGTTTTTTTTCGTATTTCCTAATCGAATGCAATTCGGAAATTTGTGATAAGCGTACGGACGTCGAATCGACACATGCTCAAAAGAAATTAAAAATGAATGATAATCCCGATAGTCTATCGATACTGAGTCAAAATGTTGACAAAAGTCAGGTAAATTGACGAGATCAGTGCATTTTTAGACACAAAAACCATTTGTAAATTATTCCATGCAACAATGTTTCGAAGCCATAGCCATGTTGATGTTATATGTTTGTTTTTTTGGTTTTGAGGTTCCTCCAATCGATCAAAAGCGTATGGTGGCATTCATTAATGAATTTATCATATCAACGGTTTCATTTCTCAACGAATTCATGACAAATATCGAAACGAAATTCGTTGAGTTCGAATTAAAGATGCAAAAGATCGAGGCATCGTTAATGATAGTCGAAGCAAAGGTATTCAGTGGTTGCGCAAAATGTTTCAAGATTGACAAACCTTTTTGTAATGAAATATAATGCAATTTTAGATGGCTTCTATACCAGATGTTCAAGCAAAAGCGCCGCCACCGTCAAATGATCAAAGCGAAAAGCCACAAGAACAAGAACAAGAACAAGAACCTCAGACCACAATAGCAGCTACTCAAGATACACCGTCGACATCACAAGCTAACGAAACTGAAAATGTTGAAAGCATCCGAGCACAAGAGCAAGACAATAAGCAAATGAGTGGCGCAAAAGCCAGTGATGATACACGATATCGAAAGTATTTCAAAATGCTTCAGTTCGGTGTTCCAGCACCGGCCGTCAAGCTGAAAATGGCTAACGAAGGATTCGATCCAAATGTTTTAGAGTAAATATTTTGTTTCATCGTCAATTTTCCTTCGTCGCTAAGTTTATCTTTCAATATTGTTTCAGTGATCCCAATCGGATTTTTGAAGACGGAATCCTCTTTGTTGCCTCAGAAGAATAGTATTACTTCGAGTCAATGTGTTCGACTCAACTCAATCTTATTCCGTTCAACGAACTCATTCCTGTTTATATTCTGGTTAAGCTATTCTTAAGAAGAGCTAGAGAAGCTAGAGAAAAGTTGCCTATTTTATTCAAATTCATTTCATCAAATAAAAAGATCTAAGAGAATGGACATTTGCATTGTTTTCTTCGAGCTGACAGAAGGTGGTCAGAGGAGATGTTGTGCGAAAAGTAGAAGAATTTCAGAAAATTTCGTACTAAACTATTTTTTGCGACTTAAGTGCAACTAGAACTTGGATTCAAAAAATAATTGAAAAAATGAGTTTCAAAACCACTGATTTGGAATGAAACATTCACTGAAACTAACTAAACAAGAAGCAGCTGTCAAACAATGTGCTTTTCTAACTGGGACTGAGCAACATTTTCTCTTCATCGAAACCATTTTTTCACTACACATTTCAAACTGATGATCAAAAGAAATCACTTTTCAAATGAAACCACACCGAATTTTTTTTGTATGAAAGTTTTTTAAGTTTTAACAACTTAAAATGCTTTAATGAATTTTATTATCAGCATAAACCATAATGTTGTTTCAAAAATGTGACAAAGATGCTGGTGGATTTTGTCCAAGATTCTCAAAACAAACGTGCACACCGGTGGATGATGGAACGGCGTTTAGAATTGGATCATTTGTCCCTTACGTTTCTTGTCACCTCCCAATTCGAAGTGCTTGCAACGTTTGATTGGGGTTTGTTTGCGGTACTTGCATTCAGTACATTCCATACGGAGCACGATTTTCTTGGTTGTCTTTGCCTAGAAATACCAGACGAAAAAAAAAAACGAAAAAATCGAATTAGACGATGATAACAAAGTTGTCGCGTTTTTATTTGCTTAAAATTACCTTCTTTCTGAAGATTGGTTTTGTCTGACCACCAAAACCTTGTTGTTTACGGTCGTAACGACGACGGCCCTGGGCTGCCGAACGTTCCTTCGACTTTTTGTATTGTGTCACTTTGTGCAATTTGTGGCACTTGCATTTTTTGCAAAAAGTACGACGTTGTTTTGGTACGTTCACCTAGAATGGAACACGAGAAAAAGCAACCAAAATTAGTAATTTGTTCAAATAATTCAAATATTCGTTTTCTCAATGCTTTCGATCACATTCAATTGTAACACACGACACACATTAGCGATTACAACAACATTGAACTACATCAACCAAAGTTGAAAGTTATTTTCTGGAAAATTTTCCACTTTTTTCTGGGTTTTTCTCAAAACGTTTGTAATAAATCGATGAACGGTGTTTTGTTTTACACATTTCAGCCATCAATTGTCGCGGATGATCGAGAATATTGGGAATTTTTTCGGAATTTTTGCGCACTTACCATTTTTTCAGGTTGTTCTGCGTTGATGAAACTAATCAAAAAGAGGCTGTCGGAAGTTGTGTGCTTGTCACTTTGGTTGAGCTGTCAAATCGAGCGCGAATGGATGCGTTTAGTCGCCTCGGTGCTCGTTTACCGGCATGTCATTTGCCAAATGCTTGAACGCACACTTTCGGCGGCGATGAGTTTGTCTGTGTGTGTGTGTGTCTGTGTGTGCAGGCAATGGCTTCGGTTCAATGTGAAGCAATACGAATTGATTTATTGGCTTCAAATTGTTGTTTGGAATACGTGATACGAAATTCACCTTAGCAAAAATGTGTGATGCGATGCTCGCTCTTACACTCGGCTCCCGTTGATTCTAAACATGCTTGCTCCGATTGGCTTATGAATGGATGTTTAAACATGACAATTGCTGGCAACTGCAATTTTATTCGACTGTGAAATACACGCATTTCATTTCCCAAGCGCTTATTTTCAACCTTAACTATCATCAAATAAACATTGAAATGTTTCTTATCGTTATTATGTGTTTAAGAATCGTGTCACTTGATGGACAGCAAAACAAATAAACTAGAATTTTGTCGTCGACAAAGTCGAAATGATGGAAGTTTGAAGAATGAATGCCATTCTTTGTGCCATAGCGTATACCATTTAAGGCCAAAGAAGAAAGAGCAACCGATGCGAGAATGATTTGGCGCTCAAATAAAATATTCAAGCATGTTCCGCGTTTTCCAGATTTTATTGACCGCGTTACGGCGTGACAACAACGACGATACACTCAGCACAGCGCGCGTACACACGATTTGCGAAAATCGCTTGCAATTCGAGTGTTTGTCTCCTTGGCGAAAATTACGGTTATCCAAATGGAAATGTGTGAAACCGCTACGAACGGAAAGCGAAAAACAACCGAAAAAAATGTAAACGATGTAATGAAATAAAGATGATTCAACCAATCAATTGAGTGCTTCATGGTCGATTCGTTTGAAATCGACGTTTGGATGCGATTGTAGAATGAATAAACAATGAATAAATATTATGCGCTATGATTAATAGATTGTAATGGGAGAGTAAAGCGTGATTTGTTTTTGTTTCGTAAATAAACCAAACGAAACGAAAATCGTTGCATGAAATGTTTCATTTAAAATTATGATTTCTGTCAATTACTTCGGGCCATGCCATTTGAAAATTAATTTTTGTCCTGGAGGAAAAACCAAAAATAGGTGATTCGACGGAACAGAAAACGAACGAAAGAAGAAAAAAAAAATACGCACACACATTTTCTCTCAGTTCCATGGGCTCAGCATCCTTTTTTCCCACAAATACATGGGGACCAATCAATGAATGCTGTGCCATACACACACAAACACACGCATAAATGACGAAAAGCCGCTTGGCTTTGCAAGCAACACTATCGCATTTACGGGACGCATACACCCAAGCCACGCATCAACACATACATATCCGGCACTTTTGCCGATACAACAATTCAAATGAACTCACGAAACCAACACATACAACCGCTAAATAAACTCACGAAACCCTCTTTTGATAGACCGAATTAATTGAAATTTTAAACAAAAATACCGTCCATCCGCAAAATTTTAATGCAAAAATTGCCGCATTAATTTTTCTTTTCAGTTTGGATTTTTTTAACGCTGCCAATTGATGGGTTTTCCATGGAAAACGACCAAAATTCAGATCGGCCTATCGTAAAAGAAGAACATTTCAAAATGACGCGCCATCTAGCTAGCTTATACTCATCAATCGAAGTCAGTAGCCAGTTGTGTATCAGTTCTCAACGAGTCAACATCGCATGGAAAATACCTCTTCGTCTCTTAAAAACGACTTAGAAATTTTTTTGAAGAAAAAAAAAATCAAACACATTTTTTTTTCTCAATCCAAAAATCGTCACTTTTTACATTTCCAAATTGAAATCGTACTTTCTTCTTAGTACCGATCAATCGAAACTTCGAGTTCATCCACAAACGCTACAAGGAATTCTTGTCTTAATTAAAATTTTTTGATTTAAGCGACATACAACCAAACAAAAACAAAATGAGTGCAACAGAAAACAGTGAATTCGCCGTTCCAGAAGTCGTTGCTGAAAACGAAAAGGAAGAATCAAAGGAAATTAAAGCCACAAAACGGCCGGCAGAAGTAAGTACAAAGAAAATTAATTAATTTTTTTTTCAAGCGAAAAGCCATTTTTTTTCCGTTCGTTGTCATATTAGCATAGATATTTTTCGCGCTCCGAAAATGTTTGCTCCACAAGAGGAGAGATGATGAAGAAAAAAAGTCACACTCACACATATACATAGATACATACAGTTCGCATAGTAAGGTTATTGTTCTCTTTTTTACTGTCGCTCTCTCGCTCCGTTTCCATCACATTGATTCGAATCGTTCGAACATGATCCGAAAGCATTTTATCTCAGCGCGAACATTGAAGATTTATTTGAACACATCCCTTAGATGACAAACATGAAGAAAAAATCAGATTGAGCGGAAAAAAAAAGTTTTTTTTTTTCTTCTTCATACAATGTATATTTTCACGCGTCGGTACTTCATATCACAAGCGCTGTATAAAAGTAGTATAATATGATAGGCAAAAAAGTCAAATCTTAAGTTTGTTGTTTGTTGTTAATTATGTGATTTTTTTTTCTGCTCAAATTCATACGCTCTTGCTCTTATTCTCGCTTGTTTTCTCTCATTCTCTCTTCGTATATTAACGATGCGTTTTTTCTCATATCTTTAACGCGCGCACCTAATTTTCATATAGTATATACACACACATATTTTTTTTTCTTCTCCTCAATATACTCTTTCATTGACATTGTTGTCAGTACCGCCGCCGCTAATGCGGTCGTTTCGAACGCGAACGTCGACAAGATTAAATGGCAAACAAGTAGCGAAAAATGTGTAAAGAATAGATTACTGTGTGTTATTGTTGATACTACTTTTGTTGCTATTTTTTTTCCTTTCGCTCGCTTGTCTCTCTCTCTCTCTCTCTCACTCACTCTTTCTCTCCAATGAACATGGCCATTGTTCGCAAATGGCATTTAAGTTTTCCTTCGGCCCAACAACCATTTCATAATTAAATCGTACACAAGCTCATAATTAGTTTACATCGAATCGAAAAAACAGCGGAGAGAGAGAGAGAGCGACCGAGAAAAAAAAATCGAATTCGTTAAAATAATGATTGATAATTTTTCGATGTTTCGCATAGAATTCAATGCAAAATTGAATATGACGCGCTCTCTTCAACTTTGTATTGGATGGATGCGTGGTATGTGTGTATGTGAGTGTATACATGCGAGCGTGTGTATTGAAGCGTGTATGTGTGGTAGTGTGTATGAACCAACGCGCGAAACAATGGCGACTAAAATATCACAAGCCGCTTCTCTTTGGCTCTCTCTCTCTCTCTCTCTCTTTTCTTTTTACTCTCTTTCTCTCGGTCCCGTGTGTGTTTGCTCTCAAACGCATACCGGAAAACTAGAATATCTACGAACAAGTCTTTATTGATTTTTTTTACTATCTTGTTCATCGTGTATTTTTCACATGATTCATCGCAAAATACGGAATGTCAGCCATTTTTTGGTTGAAATAATTTTTTGATGGACATTTCACCTAATTTATCATCATCCAAATATGCAATCCGACCTTGGGTTATTGGTGTATTCCAGAAAAGAAAAAAAGAAAAAATGAACACAAGCCAACCAGCAAACACATTCAATCCATCTCAAGAGCAAAAATCCAATATGGCGTCGCCGAGTATAATGATAGACAGTTTAAACAGCGTGCTCATGGCTTGTGTCAAATCTATACATACATACACACACACACACACCGAGTGTGGCTTTCCCACTTTTTTTCGCAGCGTCAAATTTTTCAATGGAAAACTTTTTTTTCCGATAAATCTCGCCAAATTATTTCTGACGCAAATTACCGTTTATTATTCACAAAAAAAAAACGCTGAAAAAATAACAACAACATCGAGTTTCGCAGACGACGCGCTTTAAATAAATGAATGCATGACATTTGAATTGTATGAAGTAGTAGATTGAATATTTGAATTTGTTCTTCAGTTTGATTGAGATTGGACATGTTTTTTTGTCTGTTATTTCATTGGCCGTCGATACATTTGAAAGAAGAGGGAAAAAAAGCCAGTAGGCGACATTATTGTAATGAAAACAAACGGCATATTTGTATATGTATACGAAGAGTGTTGAGAAAAAAAATTAACTACAAAATATCTATATATATATAATCGCAGTAATAAAAATGGAGCGAAAGGGATGGCATCAAAGTGGAAGCGTCATCAATTCACGTTTCTCTCTCTCTCTCTCTCTCTCTCTCTCTCTCTCTCTCTCTCTATCTGACAGCAAGCAAATAAACGGCATTATATATATATATATATAAAATTCTCCCGAAGGTGCTCGATGTGTAATGCTCTCTCTTGCATTCACATATTCGCATTTGCTCATCACTTTTGTGCTTATGTTCATTTATTTCGCTTTAATAAATTCAATCTGCTATGGATTTTGTGTGTTCGGTTTTTCTCTGCTGGGCTTATGCTTGATATTGCTTGTGCGATCCCTTTTCAACGTTTTTTTCCACGCGTCCTCTCTGCCTATCTCTCATTCAACGGTTACGATAGCAGCAACAGCAGCGACAACGTCGACCGAACGAAATGAACGAACGAAAAGAGAGACACAACGAGAGAGTGGAAAGAAAAAAAACACATTGGCTTCATTCTCATTGAATACTACGCCACACAGTATCTCCCGCTCTCGTGTGTACCTTATTCGATGTAGATACGGGACTATGTTACGTATTATAACACAGAGTATGCTTTGTATATTGCTGTGAACCCATCGAAAAAGCAGATATACTGGAAGCACATCAATAAATGCTCGCTCTCTACACACAGTCCGTATATATACGCTTTCGTACACGCAATACACTGTACAGAGCCACCGCATACACTATTCGTATATTACAAAAGAGCAGTGTGCGCTTTTTCCACTTTTTTTCCTCTTTCTTCTTCTTCTTTTTCTTGTTATGCCGTTGCTGTTGCTGCTACCATTCGCTTATTTTTCATTTTCATACCGAGTCCCATACATTCGGCTCAGCTCACTCATTTCGGTTTCGGTTGTAGACATTTCTGTTGTTTTGTTATTTTTGTTCGTATATTACGGCCACTCTATACACTCGCTCTCCCTCTCTGTCACTCACGTACACACAAGCACCAGTGAAGAGGGAGAGCGCAGCTAAACCACACTCAGTAATTCACATTTCATCTCTTCGTTTGAACATTGTTGGCCTTTCTCTCTTCACCATACACAATACTATGGTGTGGTGTTTATGAATCCCGCGCCAAAGATCGTCATATCGAGCGTTTACTGTACATTTTTATGGGTCTTTTCGTTCAACTTTACAACCGACGCTACGTGCGTACCAAATAAATTTTACGCTTCTTTACATCATGGCGCACACACACCATCCGAAGGCCGTTTTATACAATGTATCCAACCCCTGTCACAAACGCAAACAACAGCAGAAAAGAAAATATAAACCCTGAAAATGGAATCCCGAAAATTTTCCATTAATCAAATTCAGTGATTTTCTTTTTTCTTTCGCTTTTCTTGGTCACCGAGAGCATAATCGACATTTATTTTCTCGCATTCATTGGATTTGAAGTCGATTCGCTCAATGTGGAATTTACCATTCAACCAATAACCCACGCAAATTAGCAAAACTACAATAGTCTCTGTATGCTGAAATGTAAATCTATGTCTAGAACAGACCGTATAATAAATAGGCATATCGTGTAAAAGACGCGCTTTGCAACGCGCATTATGTCTGCAGAGCATACACACTCCCCGGTGCAAGCAAACACACAGTCGATTATAACATACAAAATATCCAAAAGAAGAAGAAAAAAAACTGATGTAAAAAAAACGAACATGGCAAATTTTTTGTATAGAATTGAGCTGAAGAGCAAGAGCACACGCATCCATCGATATGTTCTTTGCACCGTGTGTTCATCGTTTTCTTTTCGTAGTCCATTTTCATATATAGAAGCACACAGCGCGCAAACACACACACACACACTCACAATGCGACAACTGAGTC